GTAGCTTCTTTGATGAAAACAATCTGACCAATTAAGAGTTTAATCACACCGATAAAAAAAATGCAGAACTGTTTCAATTGCAGTATGCTCATTTGAGGAAGGTCCATACTAAATCAAAAATGCTTTCAGTATCTAGGGAGGCTATGCTCTCACCTTGAGACAGCACCCCACACAGACTGGCCTTCACACCCAGGTGGACACAGCACAGTTACCATCTCACCAGAAGGTGTCCCAGTGCCTTCATCATCCCCAAGGCAGAACTCAGGAAGAAAAGTGAGCAGTTTCTGCTGTTGGGCCCAAGTGCCCTGCGACTGGCCCCGGGGCAGCGACCATCTGCATGAGGAATTCACCTGGCATATTTAAATGCCCCTTCTATTTTGAAATCTCACCTGCACACTGTCGCTGTTGTTTTTTGTGATAACTGGCCAGAAAGGGAAAACTGCCATGTGCCTTGGGTTTAGGCCTAACTATCAAGCAAAACAAACTTCTGCGTCAGTGCAGGCGGAGCTCGGGCTGGCGGGCCTTGCACATGGGGAGTGCTTGCTCCTCCCCGGTTCCTGGAGTGCCACGGGAGGAACAGCTGCGCCCTATAAATGGCAACCAATACACTTCACGCACTGATGCATCTTGATAAGATTTCTTGAATCTGTTCACATGGAATTCAGTTGTGTACTTATTATCCTTCTTACTAATAAATCTGCTCATCTAGATTGGTGTTCAGTCCTATCAGGAAAATCTGTTTTTAATCAGTGTCTTGATTTAATTAGAAATTATTAAGAAGCAAGCTCTTAGCTTGATTGCATTGAAGAATGTCTCTCAGTCCGAGCCTTGAGGGGGAGGCAGAGGCCAGGGACAGAGGGAGAGCTTTCTCCTGCACCGACCTCGACAGCAGTGACTCTGGCGGGCCCCTACAGCTGGGAAGATGAAAATGTCTCTCTTACGATGCTTTTAAAGGTCAGCTACATCTCCACACTCGGAAGTGAAGTGTTGGCATGGATATATTGTGACAGCAGCATCGGCAGAGAAAGAATTATTTTTAGTTTTAAGGAAGAATAAATTTGGTTTTCCTTTCCGAATATGAATATCCTTCAGAACTATAGATCACATATAATTAGATTTTTACATTTTGGAATAGGGTTCTCAATTGCCTGTAAAGGCAATATTCTTAGCAAAAAAAAAAA